CCAGTACCACAATTAGTAAAAAGCTACTTAAAAAAAATCCTTGTGCCATGCAGATACTTTTCTTTTTTTCTTAATGGAAATCCATAACACCATGTGTGACAAGAACACTTTATTGAGAATGAGGACAAAAAAAAAAAATCAGTTGTAGTGAGTGATCATAGAAGCCATTCCATTTCAAGGAAATGCTTTTTGGACATGGCTAACATCAGATGCATTGATCATCAGGAGGCACCTCACAACATATTTTATCCTATCCACATCCCATCAGATGTGGGTATCCAGATTTATTCTATGGGGTTCAAACCATCCAATGGGAATTGAGTTCATTGATCTTTGCACTCTACATGATTATATACAACTTAACTAAATAAAATTCAATGTAACTTAAAAAGTACACTGAGTAAAAATGGATTTACCATGACATCTATAAGCTTAAGAGAAAGTGGTTTCTATATATCATTCTAATAGACAGCAACATTATGCAGAGCTGACATCAATCTTTCCCATGTGCTGTGATAGCAAGTTTACATTGGGTGGCACATTTAACACTCCAACACATTTGGAAAATGTCAGATTAAGGAACATGAACCATTATATTTTGTCATAAAAATAAAATTAGAATAGCAGAATATTACCATTATGACCACTAATGAGTGTGGGATTGTGCTTTTTTTCTGTATTATTTAGAGTTCAATTCCTTTTTCTTGTACCTAAAAATGAGAAGTAGGTTGAAGTAGGGAACAGCAGACTTAGTTTATTGTGTCTATTGTTTTTTTTTACAACTGTCTTTTGTTCCCCTAGAAAATGCATTGGGATCTTGCAATGGCTTTATTCTAAAGCTTATACCTAACAGATTGTAATTGACCTGAGCCTTATATTCTAAATTAGATTCTGCCAATCTCTGAAAGGGTCTAACATTTTCATGTAACTTTTAGTTTTACATTCTGTTGTCTGCAAAACTGAGACCATTAAAACAAGGTTCACAGGGACCTCCAAATTAACACACATTGTGTCTCATCATGATGCATTTTAGAATCAATGGTATACATGCTACATCCTTAATGAATTTAATTAATTGGGTTAGACTGCCATAGTGTTGAAGTTTTTTTATTAGCCTATAATCTACAGCTGTAGTTAATAAATCCATGCAAATGTCTTAATTTGCTGAATATTCTTCAAATATAGGCATTAAAAACAATTATCAGAAATTAAAAGAAATCATTGTGTGCATTCTGACCATTTTTTACTTAAAATTACCAGATGAGTTTTAATTTGTCTCAGGTAAAATTGGATTTTGCTCCAAAGCTTTATTATCATCAGCTTTTCTATCCAATTCAAGATAGATCATATGAAATCAATAAATTGCTGCTTTTATCACTTGCTCATTATTTGCTTTTTCTCCCAGATTCAGTCATGTTTTATATGCCTTCCTTTACTTTTGCCCTGCTCAGCTGACTTACCATGTAATGATGAACAGTGGAATAATTGATGTTTTGAAGAACTCATGCTCAGTCTATAATTTTGCAATGCTACTGAATCTCATTTTTAATTCCTTGTTTGTTTGTTTTAAAAAATCTGTCTTTGTCATTAATAGGAATAAATTGCTATTTTTTTTTCAAATTTTCATTGTTCCAATCTTAATTTCTTTAAGTCTGTGATTGGGTGCTGAAGTCAAGTATGTGATGCGGTGCTGAAGAATGCTGAGAGTAAAGTACAGTTTTGATTTGGATGACAAAGTAAATTGGAAAATACTAACTGAATATGTAGCACTAAAATTCAAATAAAGTTGTCATGCATCCTTCAGATTTGAATTATTCTTTGTTGACATCAAATCCCATGTGACTTTACCTCCATATCTATGTAGTTTTCTTAGAACCTGCCGAAATGTGGTTTCTGAGAATAGTTTTCAATATCCAGACTACACTAAAGCCTCATTCCAAATGCTAACCAATTAATCATTCAATCAGAATAGAGCTGGAAGGGACCTTGGAGGTCTTCTAGTCCAGTCCCTGCTCAATCAGGAGTTCCTATATCATTTCAGACAAGTGGTTGTCCAGTCTCTTCTTAAAAACCTTGAGTGATGAAGCACCTAGAACAGTGGTTCTCAACCTTTCTAATGCCGCGACCCCATAATACAGTTCCCCATGTTTTGGTGACCCCCAACCACTTATACATCACTGGGTGCCAGGGGTGTGGCCAAAGAAAAGGGGAAAAAAATGGCAGACAGCCTTGTTTGGCGACCCCTGTGAAATGGTCGTTTGACCCCAAATGGGGTTCCGACCTACAGGTTGAGAACCACTGACCTAGAACATCTGAAGGCAAGCTGTTCCACTGGTTAATTGTCCTCACTGTTAAGAAGTTTCTCTTAATTCCAGGTTGCTTCTTTTCTTGATTAGTTTCCATCTGTTGTTTCTTGTCTTGCCAACATGATAGTGCTTAACTTTCAAAACTAAGGCCAGCAATTATTGTCACTTGCTCAGTTTTCCAAAATTATTTTTCCTATGTTTTCCCCAAAAAGGCTATTTAGTTTTCTGGTGACCTTGGATTAATGGCTGGTGGAGAAAAAAAATACAATAGTGTGGTGAATTTTCTTGACTTTTTCCTTTTGCTACTAATGAGGCTTCTGATATCATACAGTATCTCAGTGCATTTTTTTATTTTTTATTTTTTATTAAAAAAACAATGATATCTTTTATTTTAGTCAAGGGTTTAGGATGTATGTTACTGGTGCTGACTGACATAACTACAAACAAAGATATATCAGTATCACAAGCCTACCTTACTTTTGTTCTTTCTTATTCAGGAAGTATACTTCATAAAGCCCCACCCTCTTTTTTCTCCTTTCCTTCCTTTCTGCTTTCTTTGTTACCTTTTTCTGACTTTTCCACCAGCTAGCAGAATAGCAGTTGTTTGAATAATTAGTTTATCCTTCTAGGTTATAAACAGCAATGAATGGCCAAAGGCACATGTAAATTGGACTTTTATGTTGGGTTTATAAGTTGGACTTAACTGATTGCTATTTTGCTTCACTACCATCCAAGCAACAATCTAATTTATACTGCAATATAATCATTAATATTATTCATACATCTATACACTGAAAAAGGAAAAATGCTGCTTAAGTCATTCTACATTTCATTATACTGGCATTCTTTCCATATTTCCCTATAATACATTACTATTGTTTTAACAATATTCCGTCTATGTATTTATAAGCTAATAAAGACATCACAGCAAGACAGAACTAGAAGAATAAATCCAGATAAAATTGTGATATATTTCCAAAACTCCACAGATGCAGTTACTTTAACAGTGATCTGGATTTTTAAAAGAAGGAATATGAGAGATATATGTTTTCCTTCCTAATTTCCCCATACTCTGCACTTAACCAGTCCATGATGCTGTGTTAACTTTTCCTTGGATACAGTTAAAAAAGTATTTACTTCTTACTTTGTTAGATTCATATTCTACTTTTCCTAGGAGCTCAATAGCAATAGCACTTAGCAATAACACTTAGCTATGCTGGCTCAGGAATTCTGGGAGTTGAAGTCCACGAGTCATAAAAGAGCCAAGGTTGCCTATCCCTGCTTTATACTCAGTGCTTTTTTTGTAAAAAAAAAAAAAAAAAAAAAGATGCCGGAACTCACACACATCATACAACCTGCCTTGCCTACCCTACAAGGTTCCATCCCAGAAAGGTGCCAGAACTCCATTCTGGGCGTTCTATGACAAAAAAAAGCCCTGTTTATACCTACAACAATAACTCAGTTATTTGGGCTGAGAACATGTAACTCTCCTCCTCCACTAAAACAAACAAACAAAAATATCATAACAATTTTATGGATGAGGATAGCTTTACACCTTGAACTCCCCAGTCCTAGCCTTAAGCTCTGCACCTCATTGTTAAGCTACATAGCATTAATTATGCCAGGAATTGGGATAGGTTCCCCTCTTTATTAAATGAAAATGAAATTATGACATAGTTAAGGAAGTTCCGATTTAAGCCAAAAGATCAACAGACTCTGTAGTAATATATCTTTGATCTTCAAGTTATACAAACCAAACATTTTGGCATGTTGTGTGCAAAGGGAGTGGGAGGAAGTATTAACAAAAGTATTTACATGAATGTTTTTCTTACTGTTTTTGCATTTTTATAAAATTACGTTAGCATTTTCAAGTGGAAAATGGGGTCTCACCCAGATCCCTTCTTTTAATAAACTAAAATTAAGAGGTTACTTCTCATTCAGCCAGTGATCCTTCCTCCAACCATGGGTTTAAAAGAAAACACTGGGAATAGTAGTATCACATTGCATATAGATGTTATAATCCGCATAATGGAGAGTTTGTGGGGGTTTTGCAGATCATTGCAAAGAAAGAATGGTTTTTACTAAAGCTTCATTAAGTTCATTGAAAGCTCAGGGCTTTGTCATATGAAAACTGTCTGTTAAAAGGGCAGGTTCTGAGATACGAATTTTCCTCCACTTGCATTTCATTATCTTCCAATTTTTCTTCCAATTTTTCTGTTGGAAAATGTGCTAAGGAACTAAATGTGCTCTGCAGGATGTAGGAGGATACCTAGGCATGCTTGTTCCATTGACCAAGGTTCTATTTATGACCAAAACTTCAACAGAAGATCCAACGTACTAGTTGGAAAATTCTCCAAATCCTCTGGAAATCATTTGACCCATTAACTTTCAGGAGAAAACCATCCTATTAGTTCCTCCATCCCTGCAAAGAGAAATATTATTAATCTAAATTTCAAAGGAGGAAATAGTCTGATCATAACAATGAATGGATATGAGATCACTCTCCTTCAGAACATGAAGGCAATTTTGCAAGGTTGTTTGGCTTAAGGAAGTTTGACTAGTTGGGTGAGGCTATGGTGTTATTGGTTTTCTCCTGCCCTATAGAATGAGATACATGTCCCTACATGCCAAGAACATGCTGTAAAAAAGGAAAGACTTCCAGCTAGAGTTAAATCAGTGCTAGGCTGATTAAGTAGAAGGTGGAATAAAATTCCTCCATCAACTATTTAATCCAGTCAAATGTTTTGGAAGAAGAGGTAGTTGGAAGATTATAAGCAGAGCAAATGTGTATGAAAGAGAACAAGGAAAGTTAACTTCTCAGGAGAAGATCAAAACGACCTATTTCCAGTGACTAAAATTCCAGGTGAGTTTTCTAACTGTGGGGTTATCTACACTGCTGGATTACTCCTTTTTCAGGACATGTGAGAAGCCTGGAATTTAAATTTAAAAAGGTTTTGTTTAGTAACTATAAGGCAAGAACAAGCAATATCACCCTTCATTTGGACTTCACATATGATCTGTGGCTGTATTTTCTTGCCCTGCTTTCAAAGTATTGTTTTCCTACTTTGACTCCTTTTGTTGACTCAAGCACTGCTGTTCTTTACTTTCTTCAAGATTAACCTTTGCACTTCGATTGGCTACTTCAAGGAGACCAGAACACACACACACATATACACATTTTCCCAGCATTTCTTAAATAGGATCATTTGCAGCTTAACATGGAAAATATTGCTCAAAACCCAGCAAGATGTTTTTTACATTTCTGTGCATATAACGTAGTAAAGTATGTGATGTTTTATTTTCTCTGAGCCACCTGTGCATGTAATCATTCTCTCTCTTCTCTCCTTTCTCCCACAGTGCACAAACCTGAAATAAGAAAATGTAACATTTTAAAATAAAGCTGGTTGTTGTGCCTTCATATTTTTGTGCATTTTCATGTTCTAATGTTACATTAATTTATTCTATTTTATATACATATATGTGTTTACATATATATAATTTTCTAGTAACACCCTCAAAAAGGAAAGCCAGTGGCAATTGCTTTTCTGGAATGGGAAGTTGGAAGGCACAGAGGAATTGTCAAGTAGGAGGGTGTGGTAGCCTTCTGTCTGAACAAAATACCTTACAAACTACTGCTGAAGTGTCTTAGTTCACACATAATTTTTGTGATGTGGTTGTTCAATGTTCTATGACCTGAACACAGAATAGAAACAGCTTAAGGGTATACTACTGATATACCTTAAGTGAGGAAGTCAGTGTTCTTAACTATATATAAATATAAAATGCAGCTATCTTATAAAGTTTAACAGTTCTTGCAGACATCTGACCTCACTAATAATAACAACTGTTATGAATGTAGAAAAACATCAGGAGACAGGCTGCTTTCCAGTTTTTGTTTTTGTTTTTTGTGCACAGAACATCAAATGTGTAATTGGGTATTAATTGTAGATTTGTGCTTGGTGCAATCATCTCTTGGCTTCAAAGAACAAATCCCTTGAAATCCAAGTAGCTGATCTATTTATTTTTTATTTTTTATTCCATCCATCTTCCTTACAAGGTGACTCTGGGCAGCTAATATCTAGAGATGCTTAATGATTAAAAAAATATTTATCTTCTAGGATGTTATAATTTTGCCTACTAATTCTATGGTACTATCTCCCTTGTCAGACAGAAAATGGGTCTTGGAGAAATAGGGCATTTTGAGATGGAAAATGTTCTCATATGAAGGACAATTCTTTTTTGAGTGATAAATCTACATCCTTTCATATTAAGGATATTCTTCCAGGATGGAATGATAGTGGATGCTTTGATAATTACAGAGTCAAACAGTCAAACTCTTCTACAAGATCTCAAGATTGTGGTAAATATTTAGATAAGTTTCTGGAATGGAAGAAACAGCAGTTGTTACTAGTACAAGTAAAAGGTTCAGTTGGCCAAGCTAAATATAGACTGCCAAATAATACTGACTTGAATCCAGCTTCCCTATTGACTTTGCTTGTCAGAAGATTGCAAAAGATGAATTTATGATCCCCAGACACTGCAGCCATCATAAATACGTCCCGATTGCCAAGAGCCCAAATTTTAATCACTTGACCATACGGATGCTACAACAGTTGTAAGTGTGAAATAAAGTCATAAGTCACTTTTTTCAGTGCCATTGTAACTAAACAGTCACTAAATCAATGGTTGTAAATTGAGGACTAAGTGTATATGAGTCAGAAATATTTTATGTCACAATACTATGATTGGATCTCAGCTGCTTATAACTATCTGGAAAAGAAATACTGTCTCAGTTCCAATGGATATTAAGCAAGTTATAAATAATTAGCTTCAGTGTTATTTTCAGCCTGGAAGAAACATCCTTAGAAATACCAGTTGTGAAGGAACAGTGTTTGTATGTGTGTGTGTGGGTTCATTTTCTATCTGAAAGCATGCCAGGGACATCTGAGAATGTATTGAATTAAGATAGTCCTTAACCTGATTCAGGAGGTCTACTTTTATGATTTTATTGTCCTGCTCAGTAAGAAAAAAAATGGATCTAGAATAGGTCCTGTCACATGAGTTGAACCAATAGCATGCAGGAACAGATCCAAGGATCTCATGGTTGCCATGAACTCCTTAATTTCTCCAAAGGTGGAGAAGTATTTGGGAAGGGTGAATAATATACCGTATTTGGATTGTTTGTTTATTTTTCTGACCAATGTTTTATAATATTTCATTTTGCTAAAAGCTACTAAGATTCAGAATGATTCAGAATATACCTACATATATAATTAATTGCAAAGTCTCCAATATTTAAAATGTTGTACAGACTTTTCAAATCACTTTACTCATCTTTTCATTTTCTACATATATTTACATTCTCTTTCCTTCCCCTGAACATGTTGTTTTACCACCTGTGTTAATTTTCTTCATCAAACTATACTTCAGCTTACATATTATTATTAATTTAATAATGCTTGGGTAAAGCAATGATAAATATGCATATTGCAAGTTTCAGTTCAGAATGCTTCAGGTACTCCATAAACTAAATTTCCTTCAGTTGAAGAGATTTTCGCTTCCTCTTTCCAATGCTAATTGCAAAGTATAAGTGTGTGAAGTGGACAGTCTGGACTGTTGCTACCCAGAGTTATTTGAACATCTATTTATTGCATTTAAAATTCACTGACTCAGTTACAAACTTACAATAGGTAAGGGCTAGAATCTGAATTTTTTTTTAAAAAAAAATAAGTCCATGCTTATATTTTTGCTAGATTGACTATGTGACATCAAATTGTGTTCAACTGCTAATGACCACATTGTTTTTCTCCAAGACAATTTATTCCTTGTATTTCCTAGCTCCCCAAAGTGCTTTCAAATTTTTGTAATTGAGTCCATCCACCTTTCAACTGGCTGTCCTCTTCTTCTCTCTCCTTTTAGTTTTCCCAGCAATAGAGACCTTTCCAGAAAGCTGTGTCTTTGCATAATGTGTCCAAAGTAGAATAATTTGAGCCTGATGATTTGCACCTTGAGAAAGAAGATTTGTTCAATGGTCCATTAATTTATTTTCTTGGGCTGTTCATGATATTCTCAAGAGTCTTCTCTACCACCAAAGTTTGAAAGTGTCAATGATCTTCCTATCCTGCTTTTTTAAAGTCCAATGTTTCCTTCTGTGGAGTATCACATGGATTACTATGACTTGTATGAAGGTATAAACATGGCATTTCAATATCTTTCCCAAGACCTTCATAGTTGCTCTATTGAGTGCTAGCGTCCATTGTATTTTTGAAGTGTTAGTGCCAGTTTATAATGCCTTGGTAAGATCACACTTGGAATATTGCATCCAGTTTTCATCACCACAATATCAAAACAATGCTGAGAATCTAGAAAGAGTGTAGAGAAGAGCAACAAATTTGATTAGGGGACTGGAAGCTAAAACATACAAAGAAGAGTTGCCAGAAGTTATGTCTAGTTTCATGAAAAGAAGAACTAGGAGTACTACAGTGGTGGGATTCAGTCAGTTTGCACCACTTCGGCAGAACTGGTAGCTAATTTTTTGTTGCCCAAGCCCAGAATGGACTTCCGGAAGCGGCATCCACACAGAGAATTAGTTGTTCACATATTTGAATCCCACCACTGGGGTGATATGATAGCAGTGTTCCAATATCTAAGGGGCTTTAACAATGAAAAGGAAGTCAACCTATTTTCCAAAACACCTGAAGACATGAAGAAATGGATGGAAATTAATTAAGGAGACAACCAACCTAGAAATAATTTCCTGACAGAACATTTAATCAGTGGAATGACTTGCCTCCAGAAATTGTAGCTGCTCCAAGACTGGAGGTTTTGGAAAGATTGAACAACCATTTGTCTGAAATGCTTTTTGGTCTCCTGCTTGAGTAGGGGATTGGACTAAAAGACTTAAAAGGTCATCTCCCACTTTGTTGTTCTATTATTTTGACAGTATAATCTTTTATTGTTGATGATTAATAATAAAAGACAGAAGCTATCTACCACCTTAATATCTTCCTTATGAATTCTAAGGCTAGTTGTCATTAATTTGGTCTATTTTATATTTAGTTTTATCTCCTTTGTTATTGCTTTCTTTGAATTTTAGTACTAGGCCTTGCAAATCCTTTGTATTTTGACTGGGGTAGCATCAGATTTATACTGCAGGTTATTGATGTCTCTTCCTCCAATTTTAAAACCACATTCTTTTTTTCTTCCAACCCAGTTTCCCTTAATATATATTCTGCCTATATATTGAATAAATAAGGAGAGAGCATACAGCCTTGTCACACTCCTTGGCCAACCTGGATAAAGTCTATTTTACCTTGTTCTGTCTGACTTTGGCTTTCTGACCTGTATATGAATTTATTATGGGTACAAGGAGATATTGTGGGATTCCTATTTTATGAGCATAGTTCCACAGCTTGACCTGATCAGCACTATCAAAGGCTTTTCTATAATTAATGAAGCACACACTGACTTCTTTATCACATTTTTTGACTTTTTCAATTATCCAGCACATATTGGATATCATGACTCATGTTTTGGGCTTTTTCTAGCATCTCTTTTTCCACACAGAACTCTAATTGTGCTGGATGATTTTAAGCACTATTTTGCTCACATGTGTAATTAAGGTTTGTGTGCTTAGTTAAATCTCCTTTTTTATATTGGAATCTACATTGACCTCTCCCAATACGGCCATTATACAATTCTCCAGATTTGTTGACATAGCTTGGTTAAACTCTTGACTGATTTTTTTTCTTGAGTTGCTTGCCATATTTCCGTGGGTATTCCATCAGTTCCTGTAGCCTTCCTATTACATAATGATCAGAGTGCTAATCTAATTTCATCTTCTAATACTAGAGTTCTTTTAAG